TCTATTGATTGACACTGGTCTCATGTCTCTATCTTCCTGCTGACGAAAGTTATTACAAAAAGAAGATTAATTTTGGACATGCAATTCCGTTTTCTATCAGTAGGGGTAAAATTGAAGGTTGTGAAAGATGTCCCCTGTCCCAATCTATTTATTGACACTGGTCACATGTCTACAGGCCCTTTAACTAAAAAGCTATTACAAAAACACCGCCCACTGAGGCATAGCAAAAAACGAAGAAAATTTGCACTTTCCCCATGGTCCCTTACCGAATGCTGCGCGAAGAGCGAGCTCTCCCGGCTTAATGCACATTGCGACGGCTTGTGCGGGGCAGTGCTTATTACATCGAGCGAAAATTATGAAAAGGGAGGCTGTGAAACATGATCAGCTTTGCCCTTTTGGCGGTCACATTGTTTCGATTTTTTTAGGTCAAGTCGTTTTGGAGTTATTGCCATTTATCTCTGAATGTGTCACGAAAATCGAAAACAAAACTAACTTAACCCCGCTAAATACACTTACTCTGGCTTAGAAAATCAGCCAGCTCCTCGGCAGAGGGTTGTGTTCGGCTTTGGTCCACAAACACGGTTCTGGAGAAATCTCCAAGCCGTCGCCGTAGAGGGTCAGGCAGATCCATGTTGACAGGAACAGACGCGAGTCCGTAGCAACGAAGGCGGATCTCGTGCGGTGGCGACTGTCCAGCTGTGACCGGGGTGTGTTTTCTCTCTCACTCACATTACTCAGATTAACCCGTTTTTTGGAGAGTATGATGAGTAAGGTAAATGATCTGGTTTTGAATGTTACATTCTGTATAAATAAGTAGCAAATATGATCTATTTTGCAATTTATGTATAAAATTATGGAAGCTTATTTCCGTCACGGAATAAAATATTAAAAAGTAAAAATTGCGTGTTTATATCTCGTAATTCTGAGATTACGCTCGATTCATTTATATAATCGTAATTTATATCTCACAATTTTCCTGTCTTTTTCCCTTGCAATTCTGAGGAAAAAGTCAGAATTGCAAACAATATATAAAAATAAAAAACAAACTCAGAATTGCGAGATTAAAGTCACAAAATGAGCTTTCATATAACAACGATAAACTTCGTTCAAGAAAAAAAAAGCATCAACCCAGCAAACAACTGTTGTAAAAAAGTTTTTTTTTCGTATCATAAATGGTCATGATAATGTTTTTATCCGACGTATTTAAGACTACAGATGTTAGGTTTTTCACATTATACGTTTTTTATTCACAACGTTGCAGAAACGCAGTTTTAACGTTTATCACATCAGCAACATCTTATGACAATTTATAAACATAGGCCTATTCATAATATGCTTTGGAGTCATTAAAGCATAGTAACTCATATATATATATATATATATAATAAAATAACTTTATTTTTTGAATACATTTAAATTGATGAAAATCAGTCAGTTCAGAGTCTTTTGTGTAATGCCAGCATTACAGGGTTAATATGTACAATTAATTTACAAGACAGTTTCCATGGACGTCAAGGTGTCCGAACGATCCAACGTGTCATAAAAACGCAGACAGGTCTTGTACTGCAGGAGTTTCTCGTACAGGTGACTGTGTCCTGCCCCGCTACTCAGCTCCACGCTCAGATCTGTGTACCTGCCAAAACATTAGAAAGATCATCTGTCAATCCTTTGAACGCTCAAAATATTCATTCTTATGTCATATTCAAAGCTTGAACCTTACCTTTGTGATATTCTCCAAAACACCAGTGTGTTTATAGCCATTAATGTGGCCAGCGTAAAGAAAAACCTCTCCATGTTGCCACTGCTGAGGTTATTAGGATAGAAGTTTCCTGTAATCATAAACACAATATTGAGCTCATCTTCTGAGACTTGACATTGCACCACAATAACAAGTTCAACACTTTCAAGAGTGAAGTATCTTTACCTCCTGACACAAAATAAAGGAAGTGAACGAGGAAAGCCCCTAGAAAGCAGCCACCTCCGTATGAGAGGGTTAGGAAATGCAAGGAGACACCTCTAAGGTTGCTGGGAGTCAGACAGAAGGATATGAGAGAGCCTGAGCAGAGGAACAAAAGAGGCGGGTGGATTTTGTGAATTTTTTATGACGTTCATGGCTGATTCTTAGGATTGAATCAATGATGTGTTGAAAATGAATATATATTGTAAAATGCTTTTATGCAAAAACAACTGGATTGCGGCTGTTTAATGGGCACTTTAACATCATGGATATTGTATGCATTTTAAAAAGTGAAGTGAGAATACGTACATGCTGGTGTCACAAAGGCCTCTGCCACTCCCAGTAAAATGTACTGGGGCGTAAGCTGGAAACAGGTCATAGAGGACACATGCAGGACCTTTCCTGATAATGTCTGCTCCACTTGGGGGTAATTCTTCCTGTGGATTTCGGAGATCCCTGCCAGTAGTGCTGAGAGAGCTGCACAGGCATGACCCATAACTGTAGGGAAATGTAGTTTTTTATAACAGTAAAGCACTAGGTTTTATATACATCAAATGTACATATAAATTGTTATTATAGCATTTCAAAAGTACCAGGCCTGGCTTTAGGTATCAGTATAAGTTCCTAGGCCACTGCTGAATCAACACCTAATACTTTGGCTCGTTCGATGGACACTTTACAATGCCATGTGAGGATTCAGACACACTGCTTGCCTCACATACAGTGGGTATAGAAAAGAATCACCCCCTTTAAAATAATCACATTTTGTTGCTTTGCAACACACATTTTGTTCCAACTCAGTGATTCTAGTTATTTATTTTTTTCGGACATGTTGGCGTTATATCCTTCACTTGGATGTTATAAGTTGCACTGAGTAAATACAGCTGGATAAAACAAAAACGGCATCCGTCTTCATTTCAGGCCGCAAAGGAACAAAATGTGATTACTTTAAAGGGGGGTAATTCTTTTCTAGACCCACTGTACAGTTTGGACTCATGGGTTAGTGTACATTTTAGCTGCATTCACTTGTTATCGTAATTAACGTATATATGAGTTTCCTAGTCGGTTATTGGACATTATCGGTTTTTCAAGTCATATATACGAATGGGAAATTCTAAGATAATTTTGATATTGGAGTTTTTGAGTTGGGTGGGTCATAAACTTTAAACATTGAGGCAGACAGAACCGTTGCTTTCTCTTGCCATGTATATTTACATATATAACCAGTTGATATATACTGTATGTATTTTACACACCGAAAATAGTATTTATTTGACTGAAACTCCAGAAACATCAGCAAGTTGATTGCGAATGTATACAATAGCATGGATAATGGTGGCCAGTCTGCTGAATATGTACTGAATATCTTCTTTACATTTTGACTTTAATAAGATTAACACAGTTTTTAATAGGCATTATTGAACCTGCCATCCTCTATCATTTCTATTCTTTCCGACAACAAAGCACTTGAATGTGACAAGCTCATAATAATGACTTCAGATGTGGGAAGTAGTATATTTTCGAAATGGGACATTTCCGATAGCACATGAAGGCAGCATAAGCTGAACAAGTAGTTCATTAATTGTTGTTAGGATGCTCACTTATAAATGTGGCTGGTGAGGGCAGTATTTTCTTTGGAGACTGGTAGCAGGTGTTCAGAAGCTCCAGCAGTGGTGCTAAGATCAGCACCGGCAGTATACTGATGACCTTCATCACTGCTACTGGCAGGAGAAAGCCGTTGAGTTTTAAGTTGGAATGCATCGTCTGTAGATAATAGCCTGATGGGATCTATTAAAAGATTTGAAATAAAGACATTACAGAAGCTAATTGCTGAACAAAAGTATGGATTCAACTAAAAATTAAGCTGTTACATACTCACCTGGGTAATGCAAGCTCGATATAAAAGCTGAAGTCCAAAGAGAGGGAACAGTTTGACTAGGATCTTGACGTTTTCCACACTGGTCTCACTGTAACGACCCCCATTGTTTTCCTTAGCACGGTCTAGCCAGTTGGCAACATCTCCGCTTAAATGGCGATAATGGAGGCAGCACATTTTGAGAGAACTGAGGAACACTCCCAGCGTAGTTAGCAAGGAACTGCCTGTTAGTTCACAGAAGAAAATTCAAAGTTGTTAAGGAACAGAAATCAGAACAATTGAACAACTGGTAATTATTTTTAAGAGAATTTATCTGTGAAATCATTGGACAAGAGATATATGTATTTCTGTGTATGTGTTATGAATGGCACTGTTACCTTTTTTTGGACGGAAAGTCAGCTTGTTGCGCACCATGTGAATGGCGATGAGAACAGAGGTGAAAGGGATGAGAAAACACAGGTTTTTGGCAACTGACTGCTGAATGTAGGCAATCCCCAAAAAAACAACAGTTGAGTTCAGGTTGACCAGCCAGTAAAACCTGTGGATTATAAACAGCTGCAGCATTTGTACCTATTGTACAATGTGTTTCAAATGTGCACTCAGTAATTTCTTCCTCATTTAAAACCTTTTCATTTCTCAAGAAATACAAAGTACTTTAAAAAAAATAGTGCTTCAGTTATAACCGTAGAAAAGCTATAAGCTTTTCCATGTAAGATTAAAGCTATTTTATCTTACATGGAGCGGGTCACCTCAAGGAGGCCACCATTTTAAGATCACATGATCAAAATATGAAAATAGATTTTAATTATGAAATATAATAGTTTATTTTTAAAAAACAGTTGCCAAATGCACAGGCTTTCTAGCATTAATATTATGCTACTATAGCAACTTTTTTTTCTAATTTTGTCTCTCATATTTGAGGTATACCTATGATGAAAATTACAGGCCTCTCTCATCTTTTTAAGTGGGAGAACTTGCACAATTGGTGGCTGACTAAATACTTTTTTGCCCCACTGTATATGAGTTTCCTAGTCGGTTATTGGACATTATCGGTTTTTCAAGTCATATTTACAAATGGGAAATTCTAAGATAATTTTGATATTGGAGTTTTTGAGTTGGGTGGGCCATAAACTTTAAACATTGAGGCAGACAGAAACGTTGCTTTCTCTTGCCATGTATATTTACATATATAACCAGTTGATATATACTGTATGTATTTTACACACCGAAAATAGTATTTATTTGACTGAAACTCCAGAAACATCAGCAAGTTGATTGCGAATGTATACAATAGCATGGATAATGATGGCCAGTCTGCTGAATATGTACTGAATATCTTATTTACATTTTGACTTTAATAAGATTAACACAGTTTTTAATAGGCATTATTGAACCTGCCATCCTCTATCATTTCTATTCTTTCCGACAACAAAGCACTTGAATGTGACAAGCTCATAATAATGACTTCAGACGTGGGAAGTAGTATATTTTCGAAATGGGACATTTCCGATAGCACATGAAGGCAGCATAAGCTGAACAAGTAGTTCATTAATTGTTGTTAGGATGCTCACTTATAAATGTGGCTGGTGAGGGCAGTATTTTCTTTGGAGACTGGTAGCAGGTGTTCAGAAGCTCCAGCAGTGGTGCTAAGATCAGCACCGGCAGTATACTGATGACCTTCATCACTGCTACTGGCAGGAGAAAGCCGTTGAGTTTTAAGTTGGAATGCATCGTCTGTAGATAATAGCCTGATGGGATCTATTAAAAGATTTGAAATAAAGACATTACAGAAGCTAATTGCTGAACAAAAGTATGGATTCAACTAAAAATTAAGCTGTTACATACTCACCTGGGTAATGCAAGCTCGATATAAAAGCTGAAGTCCAAAGAGAGGGAACAGTTTGACTAGGATCTTGACGTTTTCCACACTGGTCTCACTGTAACGACCCCCATTGTTTTCCTTAGCACGGTCTAGCCAGTTGGCAACATCTCCGCTTAAATGGCGATAATGGAGGCAGCACATTTTGAGAGAACTGAGGAACACTCCCAGCGTAGTTAGCAAGGAACTGCCTGTTAGTTCACAGAAGAAAATTCAAAGTTGTTAAGGAACAGAAATCAGAACAATTGAACAACTGGTAATTATTTTTAAGAGAATTTATCTGTGAAATCATTGGACAAGAGATATATGTATTTCTGTGTATGTGTTATGAATGGCACTGTTACCTTTTTTTGGACGGAAAGTCAGCTTGTTGCGCACCATGTGAATGGCGATGAGAACAGAGGTGAAAGGGATGAGAAAACACAGGTTTTTGGCAACTGACTGCTGAATGTAGGCAATCCTCCAAAAAACAACTGTTGAGTTCAGGTTGACCAGCCAGTAAAACCTGTGGATTATAAACAGCTGCAGCATTTGTACCTATTGTACAATGTGTTTCAAATGTGCACTCAGTAATTTCTTCCTCATTTAAAACCTTTTCATTTCTCAAGAAATACAAAGTACTTTAAAAAAAATAGTGCTTCAGTTATAACCGTAGAAAAGCTATAAGCTTTTCCATGTAAGATTAAAGCTATTTTATCTTACATGGAGCGGGTCACCTCAAGGAGGCCACCATTTTAAGATCACATGATCAAAATATGAAAATAGATTTTAATTATGAAATATAATAGTTTATTTTTAAAAAACAGTTGCCAAATGCACAGGCTTTCTAGCATTAATATTATGCTACTATAGCAACAATTTAGCACAGTCCATTTCACAAACTCACATTTGAATTGTTTCATTTGACACACAAACTTCCCGCGCAACTAAGAATGCAGTTCCACTGAGTAAGCTAAAGCTTTAAAAGCTTTTTTTTTACGTTTAATAGAGGGCTAGATGATCATTTCACTGTAGCTATTGTTTGTTGCTGTTCCAGTTGATCTAACTTACCATTAAATTATGCGTTTGTTAAATGGGCCACAATGATTATGTGTTACATCAGTGAATCGGTCGCAATGAGCATTTTATAGTAGCCTAAAGCATGACAAATTTAAGTACTTCTGGTGGTGGCGGTAACATATTTTCGAATATGTTGGCCTATATTTTGTTTTATGTATTATTATTCAATACTCTGTCATCTCTATTTGCTAAGTAGCTTTTAGTTCACTCAGAACACGTTTTTTCAAACCACAAAAAACTAAAAGCCTCAAACCACATGAATAAGATGCTGGTAGCACAATCTGATAGGTAGCATTTTTCACTATCGATTTGTGCTACCAGCATCTTATTCATGTAGTTTGAGGCTTTTTTTAATGTCCATACCTACCCCTACCTTAAATCTACTTGTTCACACCTACTATATTTACAATGTAAATATATTTTTGGTAGCACAATCTGATAGGTAGCATGTTTCGTCGGTACACCGGCTCTGGCTAAATGCTGCCACTTTATCTCAGTAAACCTGTTTTTAGACACTTTTCCTCTCAAAATGAATGAATCATGGCGAATAGCATTTCTACAATGTAAACTGTAATATTTAGCTTTTTACATCCACACAACTAGGTGTCAGTAGTCTATAAGAACAAGACAACTGCATTTTCTACCAGTGAAACAAAATGCTGTATTGGCATGTAGAGAAAAATCTTTGTTCTGATTATATAATAATGGCCTTTTAGTATCTTACCAGTTGAAGAAGGACATGAGATGGCGTTGATCACAGCCTTGAAGGTGATCATCTTTTTAAGTGGGAGAACTTGCACAATTGGTGGCTGACTAAATACTTTTTTCCCCACTGTATTGTAATAGCTTCCAAATTACAAAAGTAACTGTACCCATAGAAAATCAAAATCAAAAGTGAGATCTCTTTAACATCTCAAATATTTATCCTAGACAGAAATTAGTTTAATTTAAGATCGAAACTTGTCTCCTGAGACAAAAACTCTAACACTCTCACATTTCTCCTTTAAAGAGTTTAAAGGATTTTTTTCAGATTTTTCTCCTTAGCTAGAGACACTGGATCTCTCATATTTGTATGCTCAAACGTTTTGAAGAGATCTCAATAACATCACACATTGTGCTCAGGTGTCTCTCAGGAGACACGTTTGACAAGTTTGAGAAGCAGGAGACTCAAGCAAAAATCTCCATCTCCAAAAATCTCCATCTCAAATTGTTGAGAATTCCAAACCTATATCAATAACAACACAGATGACCGATATTGTTGAAATCACTTTCAGAACATTTTGTTTCCAGTTGATAAATGATAAAATCATTGACAGCCAATCAAAAACCACTGATTTTAAAGAGCTCAAGCATTTAAAGCGGCAGATGACATAACTGCAGTGCATAGTTATGATACAGAACGTTATTGTCTGTTCCTGTGGATCTTTATAGTTATCGTTCTTGATGTGAACGAGCCTTTACTCTTTGTTATGGACTTGAATGATCCCTCGAACAGGCTTGTTGTGCTACTTTTCCAATGGGTTATACTTACAGTTTTCACTTTGCATTCAATAAAAAAAAGACAGCAGAATATCATATGCAAATATATATATATATATATAAAAAGTCATATTTTTTAATACCAGAACCGGATGACATTCTTTTTAGTACTGTTTGTGCGTTCTTCTGCCGATGCGAATGGAATAAAGTACTATATATGTTCTGACTGAACTTTCTGCCAGGCTTTCTCGTCCAACATTAGTGCCTGACCTTACAAATACTCTGCTCGATGAATGGACAAAAATGGCCACAAAAACACACCAAAATCTTGTGGAAAGCCTTCCAAGAAGAGTGGAAGCTATTATAGCTGCAAAGGGTGAACCAACTCTAGATTAAAGTCTATGTATTTTAGAATGCAATGTCAGTGAAGTCCCTGTTGGTGTAACGGTCAGGTGTCCTTATACTTTTGTCCATGTTTTTTTTTTCATTGCATTACTTGCATTTCTTTTAGACCAGGGGTCTCACTTACCATGAAACTTTACCCATCCCTGAGCAAGTGAGTGTGAGTTAGTTAGTGTATATGCCGGGGCTGATTGTGAAGAGGAATGCCATTGAATTTGAACCTTTTTTTTCACGCGCAAACCTCTTTTGTGCTCTAGCTGAAGAAATCCATTGTGCAGCTGGACACTCTGAGAAAGAGGGAGCTCAGAGCCGTTGTCTGCAGATGCTTCTGCTCAGCCTCAGGGAGCTGAATGGGGTGAATAGCGTCGGAAACAGCCATACCCAGGGAAAACAATGCCACTGGGCAGCTTTGAAGATTAAGAAATTAGGGATGGGGAGGCTGGGGCATAAATACAAATGCTGTTTTATTGTATTGGATGTGCATATGTTTGTGCACGAGTTGTACTTTTGAGGTCCTTTGTTGCGAACTTTCTAGCCTTCTGTATAGTTTCCCCAGTTTTTGTACATTGTGTAAATGGATTGAATATTCCAAAGCACTTCAGCTGGGATTGTTGAAATGTTCCAAATGTGAAACTCTCCTGATTCGCCGGTTTCCTTCCTCCAGTGCCGAATCAAAAGGAACGCAACAACTGGCCTTTACTTCACCGTTCTCCTGTTGCTAGGAAACCCTCGAGCACCGCTTGAGTTCCTTTCCTTTTTAAGGTCTACTCCACTCACCACATTTTCCTTTAATTGAAGACCGCTTACATATGAGAGGAAAACAATTAGTGTTTTGAATACTTTGTTTGCTGTTTGTCAGGGTCGTACTGCTCACCGCCTAGCCTGCCTGGTGGCTCTGTTGTGATATAAGAACAGAGTCAACATCTCATTTGAGCCGCTAAGTGTGTTTAATTGAAGGACTTAAATGTTCACGGCGCATCACATCTGTAAGAGCTGTAGATGTAAACTTTCTCATTGCTGCACAACAGGCTTGTTTTCTCATTCAAATGCCTTTGTAGGCTTTTTATGGATGGTTAGTGCTTTTTCCTGTTCAGTCAGCTGCCATTCTGTGCCACTGCAACCGAAATTAGCCACTCAGGGTGACTGAACAGACAGATTTTTCACTATTTTATTATAAATAAGGGCTCTTCAATGTTTTAGGTTCAACACATTATTTCTTCATATCAGGATCTGTTTTTCACTGTGTGATGTTTTGGCTGTCCATAAAATGAAAGAGAAAATAATTAACTGTACAACCACTACATCCAACACAGTGAATTGGAACGAATGGTCAAAAACAGATGAAAAGTCAAATCAGAGGGACTTGTGGCACAGTGATTGGCTGACTACACTGTCAAAGTGATAAATCCCGCCTCTCAGGTCTGAATCCATCAAACTGGTACAATTGAATAGACTGATTACAAAGGAAACGAGTCACTCATTTGGACGACACCACATTTGCTTACATCTGAATGAAAGTAAACTTGACATGACTTGAAATGATGGTGGGTTTTAATGCTCTCAGCTCAGTAAAATGAATGATTTATGAATAATGATTTGAAAAGGTGGCTAATAAAAATTGTATTTAAAATTTCGATTTGACTCTTTTTGTAGTTTCTGATTATTTGACATTTATTTTAGATGCAATATGAAAAAGGTTTAAAAAAAAGGACTTATTTTATTTAAATGAATAGAATGTTAATATAAACTTTCTAAATGTCATACTTATGGTTGTCTATTTTGAATTATTATGACAATTTTAGTGTGAATAGTTTGTTTCTTGCCTGTAAAGCACTTTGAACTGCATTGATTTGTTCGGGAAAAGTGCTACATAAATATAATTTTATTGATTGATTTGATCGATCGATAAACATACCAAAACAATTATTGGTTTTAAAATTGTGATATTTATTAAAATATTATTATTGATATATTTTTATATTATGTCTATTTACATTATATATAAATTTGTATATTTTACACATTATATAAATATTATATTTTACATATACATGTATATTATTAAAGCAATAAGCCCCAAGAAGCCATGGTTTACAGTGAATTTATAACAGCTAAGGGGCGTTGTAAAACCCCCTTAGCTGTTGTAAATTCACTTTATTACACGGCTCTGTGGAATACTTGATTCTGATATGAGATAAAGTTGCAATTGTGAGATATGAAGTTGCAGTAGTGAGATATGAAGTTGCATTTGTGAGATATAAATGTGCAAATGTGAGATATGAAGTTGCAGTTGTGAACTATAAATTCACAAATATGAACAATAAAGTCGTAAATGTGAGATACGAAGTCACAGTTGTGAACTATAAAGTCACAAATGTGAACAATAAAGTCACAAATTTGAGATATGAAGTCACAGTTGTGAGATATAAAGTCACGATCATGAGATATAAGGTTGCAATTGTTAAATATAAAGTCGCAAATGTGAGATATGTAGTCAAAATTGTGAGCTGCAAAGATGCTATTGTTAGACATAAAGTCACAAATGTGAGATGAAGTCACAATTGAGATATTAAGTATTTTTATTCTTTAATATATAATTTTAAATATTAAATATGAAATATTTTATTGTTTTATTTAACTCTTTTTTTAAATTTATTTTTTTATAACTTTTTTTGAACTTTCCTAGTACCCTTTCAAAAATATTTTTAATTCCACGATTAAGATGCTTTATGCTCCACGCCGCGTATAACACAGCAGTGAAAACAAATCTAGGCATATATCCCAGCTTTTACATATTCTGACTGCTAAATACTTAATAAATGTCAGATTTATTAATAATGCATGCATTTTGTTATACTCGCATGTTAAATGTAAAAAAAGAGACAGTTGATAATCAATAATGATGGGTCAAAATGTAAAGAAGTCATTACAACCAGTCACACTGATCTCTTATGCCCCAAAGCATGCACTGAACTGTGTAGAACTGCACAAAGTTCAGCAAAGGCAATAATTCTTTGAACGATCTGTTAGCTTTCAGGGATGTTTGCAGTCTTGTCACTATGGAGCACTAAACTCTCGGGAATGTGGAATCCTGTTTTCTTAGGAACATTAAGGCATGTTTAGACTTATTCATATTTGGCCAACAGCAAAGTTTACTGGACACCTCATAGTGCAGAAAATATTTTCATTCTGAATTAATGTAAACACAATACCAACACTCCTTATTTGTGTGGTGTAATCTCAATTTTAAAGTCTGTACTCATGCTTTTAGATGTATTATTTATGAAAAGACCTGAATTTATTTAGTGTCTTAGCTAAAATTGTATTTATTATTATTATACATTATTATGTATTTATTATTATTCATATTTTTCATTTGTCTTTTCTAGTATCTTAAATGCATCAAAATAATTTTAAGAGTAGAACCTAGAAACACTGTTAATTAAAAGGTAATTTAAGGACATCAGGACGTTTGTTCATTTGTTTGTTTCTTATTCATTTATTTATTCTTTTAATTTTTACTGGATGAGATTATAAGTTTTATAAGAAGTATTATATACACAAATAATTATACACCCATAAATACAAAACAATGGCTGCTCCATGGATGTAAATGCAGATTTAGTGGTCCCCCTTATAACATGCAGTTTTACAACTGAAGAACAGACTGCATAAATTAAAGATAATCCTTGGTAAATTATGTTAATGTATTCGCATGGTCTCTGCATGCGTAACATGGGTAGTATATTACTAGTTTTGGGACACTATTGTTTGTATCAAGTTGAACCGTAAACAACATATGCCCCTTTACATGAATGTGAGTCTCCAAAAGATGCACAATATTGAAAATAAAAGCACTTCCATATACTATGCAGTCATTGAAGATGCTTCTGAAAGTTACATTATCTGCTCTTTCTCCACCGTTTTTTTGTGTGATGCTGATCTTGGTTTGTTTGATCAGAGTCTGTTTAAACAGTCTGAGCTCATTGTGTCTAATGAGTTGTGCTTCTTATTAAATTTAGCCAAGTTGTCCTCAACAGCCTTCAGAGATAACCTGCTTGAGTGTTTGGCCTGCTGTTACAAGCCATGCTGACTTTGTTGAACATGCTGGAAATAGCATATTTAATAGCCCCCCCAAAAAAAGTGCTATATTCACCATCAGAATTGCAAGGCATAAACTCAGAATTCTGACTTTTTTTCTAAACGTGCAATTCCAAGTTTACATCTCACAATTCTCTTTTTTTCTTAGAATTGCGTTTTCCGTGGTGGAAACTGGCTTCCATATAAAACTGAGCCATCATCTTTGGTAAATGACCAATTTTGATGAGTAATAAACATTTCTTATACAACAGAAAATAATAATCAGTCTCATTACAAACATTCTGTACTTTTTACTCACCCTAACTAGCCTAGTTTCTGCTAATAGAGTTAACTTGACTCACTCTGCTTTTGAATCAAATGTTCCAAACTAACCCTGTTCATACAAATGAGTCGAGGAACATGCTGATCCCTAAGGAGTAGATAATATATCTCATTCAAGCAGTTACACCTCTCTTTCTCAAAACCAAATATGTACCAGACCTTTTGAAATCTGATAATCGCGCTTCCCGTAATCTCCTTGCATTGGAAAGTATCTTAAATGCTGTGCAAGAGCATTTTTTTTAGGATTGTTTTCAAACCAAGACAAGAATGCGAGCATCCCCAGGGGTGCACATGCATAAAAGGGTGCAAATATGCATATAACATCTTGTTTTCAGGGTCACTGATGATGCATTGGTTACTCTTTTGCTTAACCAATATGCATTCCCTCAAGTTAAGAGGGCACTGATATTGTCGTGGATATTGGCAAACACCTTGTTCTTTTGTGGTTGTTGCTTTATGCAGTTATTATTTCACAAAATTAATCGTATTTATGCATGAGGGCTAGTTATTTCCAAAATCATCATTTAAAAGGAAAAAAAATGAAACAAACAACACAACAACACACACATGTTGGGTTTCCATGTTTTATGGGGACATAAAATCAGGCAATGGCCATAGGCGTAATGGTTTTTAAACTGTACAAACTGTATTTTCTAAAACTTAATTCTGTATGATTTATAAGCTGTTTTCCTCATGGGGACCAAAAAATTATAAAAAAAATAAAAGTCACCACAAGGTCAAAATTTACTGGTATTACTATTCCTGTTAAACAGTTTTTATAGTTCATATTAGTGAATAAAAATATAATTTAAAGCAGTGTGATTTGTATGATAATTTATCAATGATAATTTATCATTGTACTACATGTGCCATGATAAAAACATTATTTAAAAAAATCGGATATATCACCATTTTTAAATTAACAGATACTAGGAAATTGGAAATTTCAATTCTATATTGGCCAGTGAACTAAAAATGGTCTCATATTTCATTTCAGATATCTGTCACCTTACTCCACTTGTCTGTGCCCACTGCGTTTAAAAACAGATGTGCGGATTGCGGAGTGAGAGCGGAGCAGGGAGCGCAGTTTTTTGAAAGTCGAAGCGCTCCAGGAGTGGAAATGGAAAAGCCGGAGTGGAGCTGGAGCGGAGTGATTACGGAACGCTTTGAGCAGGTAGGGAAAACCTGTCTCTTCGCTCCGCTCCAGACTGAAAGCTTCCAGACCAGTGAACCTACATTTGGAACAAATTTCATCGATAGAGAAGAAATATACGAACTAGCTGGCAAAGTTTTGCCTGAAATGTAAGTCACTCAACTTTAATAGCTTATTTATTGAGTTGTAATAGCACACGCGTAATCACAGCGTAGCTGATATTCAGTATAAGCAGCCAAATGTATGGTATCTTATATTAAAGGCATGATTATGTTATGTTATGAAACTGTGGTTGCAATTATCTATGACAACAATACAGCCTAATGCATTACAGTGTGTATTGTAATGCAGTAAGAATTTCTCGTAAGATTAATAATAATAATAATTATTAAATGCATAATTAAGTGCTGCCATTTTTAACATCCACATGGTTATAATGCATTGTAGTCTGTGGTTAGAATTATTTCTGAAAAGACTATTTATATATTGTACATTAATGCGTTATATATACAGTCTCCATAGAAAGTATTACCAAACTTTTTTTGTGTGTGTGGTGGTCTGTGGGCGGTGCGCGCACTTCCAGCCGAACTCACGGTGCGCGAAGCGATGCGATGCGCTTCATCCATGCAGCGGAGAGCGGAGTGGATCTGACCGCTGAAGGGGGTATCTCCTCCCGTTACCCAACCAATGTGATACTCTCCGGCTCTTCGGGAGAGGTGTTCCTCTGTCGTCTCGATTGTCTTCACCTTGTTTACTCGTAACAGCAATATTTCTTCACATTCAGAGAATAATGGAAGCGCTCGCGACGAGATGCGCACTGTTTCTTGCGCAGATCGCACTCTTCAGTAATACAGGTATGTAAAGCAGGAATCTCTAGTTTACTTGATCTGTTTTTAATAAATCCGTCAATATTGGGCTGATAAATGAGTGTAGTGTATATAATGCTGAACAGATGCGGGAAGTGCTGGATGTCATAGTTTGCACACCAAGCTTATTTTTATTGAACTTGGAGTTCAAACTTAAACATGATTTATTTCTAGCTAAACATGATCTATGCCCAAAATTTCAAGTCGTTCTTTCATAATAAGTCATATCATGGCAATTCAAATATTTTCTTTTTGTCTGCTGTATTGTATTGCAAGTCAATATTGAACAAGAGAACATGGAACATTGTTTAAACAGAGAGTCTGTTTGAGCATATGCTTTATATACAGCCTTTAAATTCATAATCATAAGTTCAATTCATGTTTTTTTCTGCACTGTAAAATATTTCAACCCATTAAAATTGGTTTAATTGCTGCTTTATATTTTTGTGCTGCCAAAGTCACAACACTGCTAAGTTCGTGCACCGTTTCTATCTCTTTGAATGTAATTACTGATGAACAAAATCAAGTTTAAACTCAAAAATCAATACAATTAAATTGAAATAACAGGAAAAATTGCTATAAAAAAACAAAACCAAACAGTGTATTAATATAATGATTTAAATATTTTAGTGTGGTCTTACTTTACCAAGTAAATGGAAGTTACATAGGAAAAAATAATAATAAAACATTAACATTAAAAACTATTTTGCAGTCTGAGTTTCATTACCATGTTGGCAGCTTTTTATTTATTTATTTACATATCACACAGAGAAAGATTTGTGTGGCTGAGGTCATTCTGGTTCAGCATACTAGTGTATGAGCAACTGAGAAAGACACTTGCAAGTCAATATTGAACAAGAGAACATGGAACATTGTTTAAACAGAGAGTCTGTTTGAGCATATGCTTTATATACAGCCTTTAAATTCATAATCATAAGTTCAATTCATGTTTTTTTCTGCACTGTAAAATATTTCAACCCATTCAAATTGGTTTAATTGCTGCTTTATATTTTTGTGCTGCCAAAGTCACAACACTGCTAAGTTCGTGCACCGTTTCTATCTCTTTGAATGTAATTACTGATGAACAAAATCAAGTTTAAACTCAAAAATCAATCAAATTAAATTGAAATAACAGGAAAAATTGCTATAAAAAAACAAAACCAAACAGTGTATTAATATAATGATTTAAATATTTTAGTGTGGTCTTACTTTACCAAGTAAATGGAAGTTACATAGGAAAAAATAATAATAAAACATTAACATTAAAAACTATTTTGCAGTCTGAGTTTCATTACCATGTTGGCAGCTTTTTATTTATTTATTTACATATCACACAGAGAAAGATTTGTGTGGCTGAGGTCATTCTGGTTCAGCATACTAGTGTATGAGCAACTGAGAAAGACACGATATGAAACCCTTAAAAGATATTTTGTATGCTTATAAGGGAGGGGCTTACATTCTAGAATCTGGATTATGACTCAGGTTTCTGTCAATTCCTTTGCTGTAGTATTATACAGTATATATTAATATGTATGTAGTGCACTGTACAATGTGAAATGTGCAGTTGTTGTCTCAAGTGCACTCAGCAATTTTTGCAATTTAAGGATTTGTACATAAAGTTGTGAATACTTCAAATTGGTTTAATTGCTGCTTTATATTTTTGTGCTGCCAAAGTCACAACACTGCTAAGTTCGTGCACCGTTTCTATCTCTTTGAATGTAATTACTGATGAACAAAATCAAGTTTAAACTCAAAAATCAATCAAATTAAATTGAAATAACAGGAAAAATTGCTATAAAAAAACAAAACCAAACAGTGTATTAATATAATGATTTAAATATTTTAGTGTGGTCTTACTTTACCAAGTAAATGGAAGTTACATAGGAAAAAATAATAATAAAACATTAACATTAAAAACTATTTTGCAGTCTGAGTTTCATTACCATGTTGGCAGCTTTTTATTTATTTATTTACATATCACACAGGGAAAGATTTGTGTGGCTGAGGTCATTCTGGTTCAGCATACTAGTGTATGAGCAACTGAGAAAGACAAGATATGAAACCCTTAAAAGATATTTTGTATGCTTATAAGGGAGGGGCTTACATTCTAGAATCTGGATTATGACTCAGGTTTCTGTCAATTCCTTTGCTGTAGTATTATACAGTATATATTAATATGTATGTAGTGCACTGTACAATGTGAAATGTGCAGTTGTTGTCTCAAGTGCACTCAGCAATTTTTGCAATTTAAGGATTTGTACATAAAGTTGTGAATACTTAATACTTTTAAGTGATGTTCAGTCACATTAGCTCACAGGAATCATATCAGTCTTCTAGAAAAAGCTATTTTATTCTACTTGGAGTGGGTTCCCATTTGTGGGCGTTGCCAGGTTGAGATCACATGACCAACAGTGGTATGCAATTGGCTGAGTTACTACTTCTAATAATAATCAATGCAGCTAGCACCAGAAACAGGTGAAAATTTGTTGAGATTGAATCCAAGAATGTCTACTATAAGGATGAAAATAAATGAAGAATAAGAGAAGATAAGCAGCTTCAATGCAAAACAGCAGCAGTTAGTAAACTTCATTCATCCAGACCAGTAGGTGTCAGTATAGTCTAAAACCAATGACAATACTGGGACCAATAAGAGCACGGAAACTTATTGAGTTCACTTCTAAGTTCTAAGTTGGTATTTCTACCTTAAATTACATTTAAAACGACTTGTTAGTCTAAACTGTTAAAAAAATTGGAGGAAAAAAAGCACAATCCTGTAGAAAAAATGTGGCTATTGATGGGTTTTATTTTTTTAGTGTCTACTATTTTAATTTGTTATACAGTGCAAGTACCCTGTGTGAATAAAGTGTAGCTTGGCTCAAAGTTAACATATGCCACCATTGTGCCCAGTTCAGTAGAAAGTGACAAATGCTTATTCAAACTCAGACTTCAATCCTAGGCTCATTATTTTGTCTGCTGTCTGTTACGAAATGCCAAGAAGCGACTGATATGCCAGGATTAATCTTTTGGATGCCGTCTGAGACAAAGCCTCTAAGAGCTGACCAAAGCCATTTTACTAGGACTTGGAAAAGCCCTTTTGTAAGTCAGCTAGTGAACCGGGATAGCAAGTCGGTACCTGCTAAAAAAAAGCGGTCAGCTGCTCCTTCAACCCTTACTACTTTTCTTCTTTTCTGTTCGGTGTTCTAAATGATGCAGTGATGAAATGTGTGGCACAAAAGAAGGGCTGAATCTTAGGATGCGAGCTAGTGAATGAAATCTCTCTCTCTCACCATCTGTCTTCCCAAGTGTTGTACTATAGCTAACAAGTTTTTTTCCGTTCTACACTTTTTTGGCACAGCTCTGTTTTTCCTCTGAGAAAGTCCCTGTGTTGTTTGTCGGATCTTGGGTTTGTGACAGATGGTAGTTGCGAACTGTAAAGCTGTCTGTCCGGGGTTCATGCGGCCCCCCCCTGCCACATGCCTCATGTGTGTCCACCTGTGAGGGACGTGTGGCAGTGTGTGTCTCTACATGCTCCAATTAGTTGTGTGTCCAAGCAGAACAACCACTTCAGGCTTTAAGGTGAAGTGTGCCATTTTTCAATGTTAAAATACATCCATATCTCCCAGAGTGAAACAGGATATGTAATGGGGAAAATAACTTTATTTGATTAATCAGGATTGGATTGAATTGTGAAAGGTGGGTGTTACAGACTGAATGCAAGTTTGCTAAAATGGTAACTAAATAGCTGTTTGACTACATTATCAAATAGCTTATGTGGCCTCAGTGATGTCAGCAGAAAAGCGAATTTGATTTGCTCATCTGTTTTTGCGCCATTTCTGACTGATTGTGAGTCTGTGTATTATTAAAGGGGATTTTTCAGTGACTTTTTCAGCAGGTTACATCATCAAACCAGTATGTGGCGACAATTTTAAGAGTGAGTCACTGAACCGTTTGCTCAAATGATTTGTTTAAAAACACTGATTTATTCTGAAAACAAACCATGATTTATGAGTGAGCCACAAAATTATTCACTCAACCATTTCATTTGAAAAACACTGAATCATTCATGAAAGAAACAAGTGACTCAATTTATGAGCGAGTCTCAGAATCATTCACTTAACTGATTCATTCAAAAATACTAATTCATTCAGGAGTGAAACAAATGGCTCTCTTCATGTGTCACCAAATCATTCACCCATCCAATTTGTTCAAAAACAATGAATCATTCAGAAATTAAATGAGTGAATCGATTTATCAGTGAGTCATAAAATCATTAATTCAGCTGAGTCATTCAAAACATTGATTCATTTAGGAAATGAAATAAATAAAAGTGAAAGTGACTGACTGAATTTAGAATAGCGTAATTACCATACTATACCATACCATATTAGTCAGGGTATCTTCCGTCCAATCAATTTTTGTTTTAATATTGAAATCTGAAAAATGAAAAACGGGCACATATTTCGTTTTTCAATTATTCAAACAAAACGAAAAATCAAGAATCCGGCTTAATTTTTCGTTTTTACATTCAGGGATAGAAAACGAATAAGCAACTTGAATATTCGATCTCTACATGTGGGCGGGAATGAAACGCCCCTCTCTGCTAATTGGTCAACCAAACATTACAACATAATAATAGTCCTAAAAAAACCTTAATAATAGTCCTCCGCTTCTATTGATTCTTAACATGTTTATTTCTACTACATTTTATCTCTTCATCAAACAGCCAGATTAATGAATGGCTTGACACAAACCATACTGAAGCAGATCCTTTTGGCCCTAGGCATGCCTGTTTTATTATAGTTATCCACCCATTAAAATATGTGTGGCAAAGCTGCGCGATGCACTGCAGCGTTGGGCATTTTTCAGATTTCAATATTAAAACAAAAATTGATTGGACGGAAGATACCCTGATTCATATTGCTATCTACCATACCATACTATTGTACAGTTTTTTTATCTCATATGTTTATTTGGTGTAAATAGTGTGG